AATTTGCTATTTTTAGCTTATATGTAACATGAAATTTTTATCTTATAATATAAAAATAAATACTACTAAAATGTAATCCTTATTTTCAAATATTTATATATAAAATTTTATTTAATAATTTTAAAATTTTAAAAAAGTAAAGCATTACTATATTTGGACTATTAAGCAGGCAAATTTGCCTGCTACAGTCTACAGATTAAGAGATAGCTTGAGTTTGTGAGTTTGTTTTTTTTTTACCTTTCTGTGCCATAAAGTATAATGCTTCTTACCTTTTTTACAAAATGAGTTTTTTATCTCATATTGTTAATAAAAACCCTACCATTGAACCTAATACTGATAATAAATCTAAAAGTGACCTTGACACTAGTCATGATAGTAACTTTGATGATAATTCTCACAGTGATATTAATGATAATGATTTTAACGACTATGCCAATATTAATGATGATAGCAATTTTCATACTAATATTTATAATACTACCCAAGGAACTTTTTTGAACAGTAATTATTCTGTGCCATCAATTGTTGTTGGTCAGACCTTTTCTAGTTGAAATGATGTGGAACAATATATAAATGCCTATGCTATTAACAAAGGATTCACAACAAGATTTCATTGTACAAACTATAGTATGGGATTTATAACTAGAGCTGAAATGATTTGTCGATGTGCTGATATTGCAAACAGTAAAAGCATTGGACTACGAAATTCAAAGAGCATTGCAATCAATTGTTCGTGCAAAATAATAATTCACTAGAAAAAGACTAAATATCATGTGAAATCTGCTGTTCTTGAACATAACCATCCCATAGATATTGCTGTAGCCATTTTTGATCTCAGTTATCACAAACTAAGCAATAATGAGAATAATCATTTATAAATACTTTATAATAGTAGGGTGTCTGTGCCAACAATAATTCGAATGCTGAATAAAGAGTATAGTAGATATATACATAAGAGAAACATCTATAACTCTTTAAATCATCAATCTCGTAATCATGTTAAAGAATTATACAAATAGCAGAGCTATTTTTTTTTTTTTTTTTTTTCCCTTAAGCAGTCACACTAGTACTTTATTAAGATTTTGAAATTACATTTGCAATTACATAAA